CTCAGAAGATCAGGAGTGTGTTGCGACTTGGACTTCATATTTTAGCGATCTTGTTTAAATAAATGGTTGAGTACTTGATGGTCTCATGTCAAAACTACTAAACTGAAGGTGGCAAAACAGAAAACAAATAAATAAATAAAACCCCAGCATCTTTGAAGGCAATAAAAGCTTTTCTTTCTTTCTTTTCTGAATAAAATTTAAATCTGATCCTAAGCAAAAGTGAAGCCAAACTTTGAAGGCATCAATTCATCACATAGTTTGGTGTCAGAAAATTTTCAGACAGGAAGCAATCTCAAAGCAATGACTGTCACGCAGATTTGCCACATATTTAGAGTTTGGTTTCTTATCTTTAACGGTTCCTGCTTTCAGGGAAATTGCTCATGTGAAAAAATACAATAAATGAAAAAGGCAAGTGGGTTAAAAAAAAAAAAAAAGGAAGCTCGTGTTAAGATAAAAAAAATAAAAATGTAATTTATTTTTTCTTGATTTTTGTGGATGTATTTGAGCCTTTTTGAACAGGGATCTACAAAGCTTTATATGTCATATGTTGTATATGTCATCATTAGTAATGATGAGCTCTACATTGTTTTCTTAAACAGAAAACAATGACCTATCCACTGAAGTATGCTTACTAGTTAGCTGCCATGCACAAGCCATGATGGTGTGACACAGCTCCTTTGAACACGTTCTCCTTTATATTTTGCAGCTCCAGTTCTGCATACAATCTGATGCATGAGAGGCAAAACAAGCCTTGGAATGTTTTATCTTGGTCTTACAAAAATGTGGTAATTTACTAGGGCGGTATAAATTCTTTATACACACTGAAACAACACCTCCCTCACTCCCTGCTTGTGGGACTTTATGTCTCATATGCTGCTCGCTCATACACAGGTTGGTGGTCAGTGTACGTCATCATGTCAAGTCTTTAATAAAAAATGTACACAGTGTTAATAAATGACGGTTAAGTAACAAAGAGTTTTGTTTGGTTATTTGTTTCATTTTTAAACGTGTGTACTTTGCCACTTACTCAGCGCTGAGTGGCATAGTTTTGGAGTGTGAGTGTGCTGGATGTATTTGGATGTATTTGTTTACCTGTTGCCTGAGTTGCAGATCTTCCACCTGGGGGTGGGTGTGGTTTTGGCAGAGCGTTACAGTCGCACCTGTTTGCAATCTCCTAAGTCCACCTCTGAGTATATAAGGAGCTGTCTGACAAGCTTTCCATGCCTCATGGCCTGACATACTGGTTAGAAATGAGACCGTATGCTGACCTTTTCTAATTACTTGAGCATTCTAATATTATCCCATTATCCATATTTTTCTGAGCTAAAGGTCAAAGGAAAGGCTCCCTGTTCTATCTGAAGCCCCAGACCCAAGGCACTTACTTTTCCGAGCCAGACTTGAACCTTTCTCTGTGAGCAACAGCTGTGCGCTAAGCCAGAGATCATCCTCTTACCCAAATATCACCTTTAGTTGTGTCACTTTGAGAGAACTATTTCCTTGGCACAGCCAGAACAAACCCAAACACTGATAATCTCTTTCATAAACTATTTAAAAATGGGTTTTCTTTTGTGTGTCGTCCTGCATGCGGATCAGGGAATGACCTCCAATCCTGATGGAGTGATTGCATCTGTAGTTTACTTTAACCAAAACATTTTTAGTACACACATCTGTCCACCCTGTCTACGTACAAGATCTTGTTTGATAAAGTTGCAACCGAAGGAGAAATTTTGAAGTCTAAGGTGTTTAAATTTTGTAACATTTTCTTTGCACGCAAACAATTAAATCTGAAAATACAGAAGTAAATATGCTCAGGGAAATTTGTTGGCAAACTAAAAACTAAGGAATCATTATACGCTTGGCTATTGAAAACAGAGAACTCAAGTGATCCTGGTGTGCACAGCAAGAGAGAGGTTCTCTCTGGCGAGAGACATGAAGGCGTGACTTTACTGGAATGCATTCTTGCCCAAGTTTCCAAAATGAAAACTATATCTCTGTGACCATTTCCCGTAAGCTGTGGCGCAACATATTTTATGAATGAGAGGTCTGACACTTTTTTTTTTTAAGGTTTTGCAAGGCAAATTTTTATTAGAACCAATTCTCCATTTAGTGGAATTAAAATTTCTTGGTCTGCTTCTGTGGTTTGGCTTGGAATAAAAAATAAAAATAATAAAAATTGTATGCATATGCATTTCATCTTCGAAAGCTCAAAGTTTCTGTGCATTCATTATACTGTATGTTCAATATGTATCCCAAACTAACTTTCTGCTGCAGGTGCAGCGCCTGGTTCTGTGTGGGAAAGTTCAAGTAAACTTGCATCATTGCACTTGGCGGAAGTCTGCATACTTCCCACTTGAGGAATTTCTTCCTGCAAAAAGCAAACTTCTGCACTTGTTGCAGACCTCCTCAATCAATCAAAATCACATTTTATTGTATTGCACATTTCAGCAACAAGGCATTTCACTCACTCCAATTATCCTCATCAATGTAAGTAAGTCTGCTGATATTGTTTGCAAAGCACTTTTTTTGCACCCCGTCGTCTGCCCAACATCCTACCCAAATTTTTCTAATATCTTCTTCATGGGAACCATGCCCAGCTTGCTAAGTTTGGGCGAGTATTTCTTCTAAGATAAGAAAAAAAAGGAAAAACTTTTTTTTTTTCATGTTCCTCATTCTTTTTCTTGTTTAGCTTTATAGAGCATAGCTTCATGTTTCAGTCATGCTGAACTGTCTCTATAACTTGGTATGTGAAAGTGTTCTGCATGGATTAATCCAAACACATCTAAAAAAAACCATTTTGTTTTACTCAGTTTATGCCTTAACATGATAGTTTGCTAAATAATACATCATTCTACTATGATTTAATGTTTCTGTTTTGTTTTAATTCAATGTTTATTAAATAATAAAACATTAATGTCTTAGTGTGCAATTGAATCAAAATGTGTTGTGAGTCTCTGATTTTTTTTTTCTTTCCCTAACATTTTAAGGTCAATTAGTGTATAAAATAAAGCATATCTTTATGCTTTATTTTATGTCTTCATGTCACATGAAGACATGTGACATGCTATGACACATGTCTTCATGTGTCATAGCATTTAACACATACTTGATGAAGTTGATTCACCAACCGGAGCACAGCAGTACACCCTTTATCGATTTATATCCATTTGTTTGCTCTTTGTAATAATAACGTCATTTACTTTTCTATAAGCGATTTACGTTTTAGCCGGAAGAGATTTTGGCTCATTTTGACACGATCCGTGGCGCCATCTAGTGGTAAAAGATCGGAAATGAAGATTAATACTTTAATACAGCTATAAAAATGGGGGAAAAAAATCAAACAAATATAAATAGAAGTACATAGACATACACAGACATAGAAAGACTGCTAATTTTAATATAAGCACAGAAATGAAATTTTTTTTTCTGCTTGTAGTAATACAAATTTTACTGCATGCATTATTCTATCTGTCTGTCGACTATTGCCGCGTCAAAGTGACAAAATAATTAACAAGCACTAATAAAATTTAATTTAGAAAGTCGAGGCGATAAAAAAGAAGCATCCTTCTGGACTGCAGTCCTCACACTCGTCTCATTCAGGTACAGAAGAGAAAACAGATCTTTGTTTTTGTGCTGCCGTGAAGCAGGAAAAACACACTCGGGGATCATGGTGTTCCTGACAGTGAATGGTGCACACCTTGTCACACAATTACTCTAACTTACCTCCATAGTAGAAATAAAATAAGACGAAGCTTTCGTAATGGACATGATATTGAACACTGCCAATCCTGACTGAGTTACAGATTTTGAACATTCTTTAGACTTCTAAAGAATGGCCGTGCTGTCTCCTGTAAGTATCAGCTATCCAACTCCTTTTGCCACCATGCAGTTCTCTTCTCATCACACCCCCCTCTACTCTGCTTCTGTAATTCACATCTGCTGTGTTGGATGTGAGCTGACCAAGTTTGAGTTGGTGTTTATTCGTGGCGGTGGTAGAACAAGCCAGAAAAAAATTCCTTTATGCTATCTGAATTGACACAGCGAAGACTAGCTGTTTTAAAGAATTAAATTCTACAATTGTTGAATTGACGTTGGAAGAATGTTTACGAGACGGCATGGACTATCTGCTGCAGGAATCACAGGTTGGTTAAAAATAATACACTTTTGTTCTTTTGAAAATATTTGGGCGGTAAAATAAAAAATAAATTGGCAGCAAAAGAGAAAAGAAAACGAAATAAAGAACAAGTCCAACCTCCACCCATCTGAGTCAGCAGCTTCGACATGATACAGCCACACATCTGAAACACTTAGCAAATGATGGCCCTTGTGAAGCCATGCTGGAGGTATAATAGGCAGGCAAATAGAGAAACCCAGAGGTTGGATTGGGGCTGTGGAAGGATGATGGAGTAGGTCAGGTGATATTATCATCTTTATAACCATAACTGGGATCTGGTTGCCATGGAGTGTGTAGGAGGAGAGTTGGGAAAAGGAAGGGAGGTGGGGTTGGGAAGTGGAAGTGTGCCAAAACATAGGTGGGGGTGGAAGCAGTAGTGATGTAGTATTTTGTTCAGAGGATCCCCTTCAAAAAGTCATATCACGGGATCCAAATGCTCTAAACAATGCTACAATTAGGATTTAACTATTTGTTTAAGTTTTATCGGATGATCTTGAATCTTGTGTTTATCAAAGTACAAAAATATAATAAATTAAACACATGTAGAATAAGGAAAAAAAACAGTTAGACTGCTTGTGCACATGTCCGGCACAAAGCAGGGAAACAGTCCTTGGTTGGAGTGATTGACTCCTGCTGTGTTACTGAACAATGCAGTCACGATCCACATTAAGGGCTTTTAAAAGGTGCTATGTGCGTCAGGCGTCTCCCAGCCTGTCTTCCTTGTGGCCTGAAGATGTCGCTCTGTCACCTCCTATGAAACCGCCGCTGCACGCGCGGGCGTGTGCGCGAGCGACGGGCGAGAGCGAGACGGAGCGCCTCTGTCTGCCTCCTCTCCGGTGGCGTTGCCTCCGTGTCGCTGCAGTGCTTTGCTGCGCTCCCTGCCGATCCGTCTTTCTTTCTTCTCCTCTTTTACACGCGGCTCATCTCTTCCTTCTTTCTCACCTGCGTGCCCCCCCGTCCCCCGCGTCTCCTTTCCCCTCCTCCCCGTTTTCTTCCCCTTCCTCCCTGCGGATGCCTTCAGCCTCTCGCACCCCACCCGCACGCACTCGGCATCCCGGCAAATGGTCCCTCCATCCACAGTGACTGTGGACGCAGGACGCAGAGAAGAGGCGCACCTTTCCGTTTTGATCTGATCCGAGCATCACTGCGGATTGACTTGGAAGAGGGGCGGATCGGGGACCCTTGGGTAAAGAGCAGAAGCTTGAAAGCGCGGCCAAAAATCTTACTTGGGTAAGTCATCGCCCTTATCGCCCAGCTGTATGAGATTGACTGGAGAGAAGCTGTGAGCTCAACAAACGCGTGTTTGAAGTGTGCTGTTTGGTTCTCGCGGGCTGGAAATCCGAAATGAGTTTAGGATCATTTACTAAGGATAATTTATAGACTCTGCGTTTGCATGCATGGTGCTGTTTTTTCCCCCCCTATTTTTTTTTCTTTTTCTTGTAACAGCTTTGCTGTGAAACCTCTCTTGGTGAAATGCGCCCAAACCTACTCAGGTTGTTCAAGGCACAATATATTTTGGCTCCACATGGCTGCCGACCAAAATCTACAACTGGTTGTGCGTAAAAGTGCTCCGCAGCCTCAGAAGACGCCATGGAAGCAAGAGGGGGGGTAGCTTATCCATGCTCACCCAGTTGACTGAATTCAGGTAAAAAGCCTCTTGCATAGTTAGAAGTGATGTCGCTCAGAGCTTTAGAGTTCTGTGCTGTCGTAAATGTTTGCCCAGTTATTCTCACTTATGGATGGGAAGTTTTGTGTGGATCTGTCGGCAGATTGAAGGAGAGCTTTGAATCTGTACCTTCACCCACTTTGATTGTGGCTCTCTGATCAATAGACATTTCCAGGAGGGGGACTGAGCACTGGCAGGTTGTCAAGGGCACACAGTGCATCTAGAAGATGAGGTGGCGGTGATGAAGAGGAGGAGGATGAGGATGAGGAGGGTTCAGCTGATGTGAGGGCATGATGCAGGTCCACGTTCAAACTGATGTATGTCAGATCCTCGGATAGAGAGTAATTGACAGCTGATCCACAGATATGGAAAGAGTGAAAATGGCTCCAGTGAAGTGCATTCTCCTTACTGGATCAAACTGCTTTGTCTTTTTTTCTCTTCCTGTGTTGGTACCAACTTCGAGCCGATATCTGCAGATAAAGCAACTTTCTCACTGCCAGGTAAGCAGCTGTGAGACCAGGAGAATGCAGTCACGTTCGATTCTCCTCAAACTGACCTCTGATGATGCCATAAGGGGACAGAGCTCCTCGATCTGCTTAAAAACAGCATGCTGGAGCTTTCTCAGTACTTCAAGAGACGACCCTAATATCACCCTCTCCCCGAGCAACACGTCTTCAAGGAACTTGTGATTTATATATATATTTTTTCTTATTATTATTGTTAAAAGGGTACACCGAATTACAAAGGAGCCCATCACTGTGGGAACTGTCTCAACAATTCTCGTGCAATCGTTCTCCTTTAAACCACAGGCACAGACACTTCACCCTTTCTCCAAATTTCCTAAAGATTAGCTTCTTTTATGTCCCGTAAATGTCTCCGGTGGGCATGAAAAGCCTCGTCCTTCATTGCGGACACAGATTAAGCTAATTCACACAGCAGCGCAGGCCTAATGCCTAATCACTATGCTGCGCTGGCAGAACAGAACAGTCTTTCTACTGTGGCTGCCAGGGAGAGAGAGAGAGAGAGAAAGAGAGAGTAAAAGAGGAAAGGAAGGCTTGCCGCCAGTGCCTATTGATCGGATGGAGGGGATACTGTCAGGCGACCACGGGATGGAGTGCTGACGACAGTCCAACGAGCCACTGTGATGAGCTGGCCCAGCAGTTGCTTTTACACACCGAATAATGCTGATGTTAGGGGAAGAGTTTGAATTATAGTTGTCCTCCAGAACAGGGTCAGGAAGGATTTGGAAAATTCTGCATTTTAGTCAAGAACACGGATGAATTCAATCGACAAAAAACCCCCAGTCAAAGTCAGGTTTGGAGTGTTGTTCTGATCATGACCAATCTTTTGTCAGCATTAAACCACGTCTGGTCCTCAAGGCTGACGATTTGTCAAGTCAGTAAACACTGAGCTCAGAGTGAAATATTCATTATTTCAGCCTTGATTTTTGCCCTTGAGGAGCAGAAAGCAGCAGTAGAACTTTACTTATTTTATTTTTAATTTTTTTGGTATCTATAGTATATTTAACTTGTGTTTACAAGACTAATAGGTTCTCAACTGTGCTCAAAGGTTTGAAATAACTGAACACCAACCTATAATTTTCAGTGTGACTTTTTGCCACATCAAGAAGCTTCTGGCATTCGTTAAAAGCTCGGCTTTTAACCAAAGTTAAAAGAGGCCATATGGTTATCCTACTTTGTGTTTCAGTCAAGATACAAGCTTCCTTTCAACCTAATTTGATTTTGAAATACTCTTGAAACTTTCAACTAAAAAAAAAAAAAAGAAAACAAACTGGGTCGAAATGTAAATAAGTGCATCAATGAGATTTTAAAGTCATACGACAAATATTCACTCCTTTCATTGTGTTGAACATTGCATGCAACTTCTGCAATCCTTTCATGAAAAACAGAACTCTGACAGGAGAGTAACTGTTTAACTTTTTGATGGCTGTGAGCTGATTTATCTGCTTTTTGTTCTTTTATCTTTCTTCCAACATTTCACTTTCGTGTGATGTTTTCTTGCCTGAGGCAGCTTGCAGACTTTATTGATTGCATATTCATGGGACGAGGCTGGATGCTAATTGGCAGCCACAATGTGATCTTTAATCAGATAAAGTGATACTTATGTTAGTCATGAGTGGCTAAAAAGGTTGGGTTATGTGCCACTTCTACAATGTTTGGATTACACTGACCCATTAAAATATTACATTCATGGTTTTTCACCAGTGAAGATGTAAAAGCATATTTGAGTTCAGAGTTTCAGACTGATTTACTATATTTGAGATTTTCAATCAAATTTTCCCATGTAGGTCATTGATAATAACAACCTATTCATGTTTCCTTTTCTGTTAATGTTCAGATTATTGGTTAAAAGTCAGTTCACACTGCGATAAGAGCCTTGATATTTAAAAGATAGGCAGCAATGGCATTTCAGACACTGGACAGAAATGTACTTACACTCATCATATTGCTAATTTTCAATTATACATTTGGACTTTTTTTCCCCATAGTATAACAACACGCAAAATCCATAAATTTTAAAAACAAAAACTGTATCAATTGGTTTGAGATTATGGCAAAAGACTCAAATGAGTAGACAGAGAAACTTTGCACTTTGTGTCTCTTAACAGCAGATGTTTTTTTTTTTTTTATTATTATTATTTATTTATTTTTGCATAAGGCACAAATCTTCCATAGGGTTTATGTTGGAACCTTTCCATAAATAAATGTCTGATTTACCCATTCCAAAAGCAGTTTCGACATGTTTGGGATCGTTGTCCAGTAGGGACAATCTGTAGTTTTCAACTTCCAACCATGTAGTTTATTTATGATGAGAGTAAGCAACTTGGAGAAAGTCACTCGTCTGCACAAGAGCCGTTGCCACCTGAACAGAACGTCAAAATCACGCTACCACTGCCATGCATGACAGCTGTTGCGCAGTTCTCTGGTTTGAAAGCTTCATCTTTGCATCTCATTTTCAAGATGACCCTAACAACAAAAAACAATAACAAAAACTGACTTTTAAACTGCTTAAAAGTTAAATATTATGATACTTTTCTACAAGCGTAGTTCAGATACAATTTGTGACATTCATACCTTTGATTAGTGTGTGGAAATTTCTGACCTGTACCGCATATATTTACACAAGATGATTACAGTGGACATACAGATTACATTGAATCAACAAAAGAGCAAGAGGAGTGAGTCACTCCAGCTTTTCGGATAAGTTAGAAGACAAACAATATAATTTCAAGCTAAGAGCTTTAGCCAATGTAAGATTATATCACTAAATAAATACAGGAACAGCCCGTTACCTGGAATGTCGAGAATCAATCAGCTTGAAAAGATGCGTAAACAACACATTATTCGTATCGAAACGCTTTCAAAATAATGATTTCAAAATGTGTCCAGAATAAACAGAACTTTGTGTAAATGTAATCTTTTAAAAACAGATGACTGGAAATGCTTCTTCTTCTTAGTAAGCCTGCAGAAGGTTTTCAAAGAGCGGCTCGGTGAGACCACTGAAATCCTTAAGGTGGTACAAAAGCAACAGGTGATAATATAAAATGTTGGTCTGATTAAAGGAATAAGATCATTCACTTGATAAGATCCAACAACGGTACTTTTATCGGAAAATTTTAGTTGTAATTCTACAAATTTCTACAATGTCCTAAACTACATGCTGTTGCTCAATTGGTCAGGAGAAGACTCACTTTTTGCGTGTGAATAATCTCTGTCCATTGTGAGGCTTTTTTATTCCCAACTTCAGCAAAACTTGCTTAGGCCCATCCTCAACATGAGGTTGAGGATCAACCTGACTTAAAAGGTTTTGTGGGCACTCTTTGTTACAATATTTTATTTTTCTTATTTGTGAATAAGGAATAGAGCAATGATTGAACTCTTAAATCAGTCAAAGAAGTTCCCTTTAGGTTAACTTTCTATAGCTGCATACTCTTCCAACCAGCATGCTAACAATGCAAAAAGACATAATTCTAAAGCAGATTTTATCACATTTGGTGAGTTGGAATGAAAAAAAACCTCAGAGGTAAAGGAATGGGCAATTGCAAGTCAGCCATTTCTTTTTAATTGTTTAATTAAATTCAGATTGGAATTAACAAAAACTTAGTAAATACGTTTGATTGAATGGAATGATTGGTAAAATCTCTTTGAATGAAAAAGTAAGGGAGAAGCAGATCCCCCTCTTGTTCAGGTGTTTACATGCCTGCTGCTTGCATGTGGCTATTTGGAAAATACTGCCAAATATCAAAGAAATTTTCCCTTTCCTAGCTTTTAATCAGTGTGGATACAGATGCATTGCCAATTCATGGAGATGATCGCTGTCTTACAGGAACCCCCTGGTGACACTATTGATTGTTTGTGATGTACTATTTAGATATATATATATTTTTTCCACAAAACATTTTGGAGCCTGAGGCCGTGCCTTTTAAAGTGGACAGGGAATCCATAACTTGTCAAAAGTCTTAAAATCTTCTGTGTCACTTTTCGCTTTTGGTGATGAGTTTTAAGTTACTATAAACTTAAAACTCCATTTTTAACTTGGCAAA